AACCAATGAAACAAACTGGGCAGTAACTCATGATCAGTTATGCTAAAGCCTACATTTGAATGTGAGTAACCTCCAGCAAAACAAGACCTGGCCTGAATCTGGCGGGACTCGTTTCAACCTGACTGCTGGAATTTGCCTACAAGCATGTGGAATACTCTGCCCAGGTTTGGCAACGCTACAGAGGCACTAAAACCATCTAACAAAACCACCTCCTGAATATTAGTGGGTGCTTGGCACTCAATGAAAAGCTCAATGCATGACTCAGTTGAAGGAGTTATGCTCACATGCCACCTACATTTTCCAGCTGGTGATTCAGTGCTCATTGATTTATTTTTTTCATGTAAATCTTCAATTACGAGTATCTGCAGCATCAGAATTTCAAGACTGACTAATTACTGTTCAGAAATATTATTTTCTGTTTCCAGTGCTAAAGGCAAATGGACAAATGTTCATTTTGCCCACTGTAGTAACATGTTAATATTATATAATTTTCCTAACATATTACAGAGTAACAGAAATGGGGTCCGTTTGTCCTATTTGCCTGTTTGGGATTAATTTTAAGGTTCAGTACAATGTCTTTGAGCTCCATGCCCCCTGTAGCCTGCCAAACTCACTAGTAATTTATCTGCCCTGCTTACAGTATTTGTCACTTTATATTAAAGCACCTGAACAATAAATATATGTAAATTTAATGTGAGAAACATTATCAAACAACATATACCAAATCTAAGAGCTGCATTTTTGCTCTGGGTAAAATATCTGTCACAGTAAAAAAAAAAAAAAGGAGCAAATTCTCTAGTAACTTTTACAATGGAGCAAGTGTAGCAAGCAGCCCAGTTTTACTGTTACTTCTATAGAAGTGATATACCCAAGTAAACAAGTTTTTAACATTAAGTGTCATCCTCTTTGTAGCCACCAGGGACATAGACTATAGACTAGAAAAGATACCCATAAACAGCAGAAAAACTGCACTGCACATACTGTAACAGTAACAATTGTTAATATTCACCAGTATTTATGTCAATACTTAAAAGCAGAGAATGACAGCATTTTAATTTCTGAGCAAGACAGCACACATGCAAAAACAGCACTGCTGTAGTCCAAAATAAGTCATGTCAAGAGACAGAGTTTCATACCTAGTTTTGCAATACTGTCTTCTGCTGGCTGCACTTTGTCCTTCATTTCTCTCTGAAACACAATATCTCTATTCCGTCTTCTGCGTCCGTCTGGCAGCGGGTCACAATCAAGAGAATTTGCCCCCTTTTTCTTCTTTTTTTTCCTACACTCCCGCACACGCGTGTGTGGAGTAACAGGGGCAGTAAATGTGCCTCTGTGTTGCTGTGGTTCCTACTTCTCTGATTATCAGCTCTTATCTCTCACAGTCTTTGTGGCTCGCCACGCCCTTGTCTTGCTCAATCCGAATCCTATCTCACTTTTCCTTCTTCTTTAGGGGATTTATAGCTGGAATGCTGTCCCTACTCTCACGCTGTGCTTTAATGGCTGCCCTGCTTCACCTGGGTGTTTCTGAGGTGTGTCTAGCCCAGCCCATTCTGAAACTGCCCTTCCACACCCTGTGTACGTGTGTGTAAATAGGGTGTGGCTCCCACACATCATCTTTCACATTTGCCCTGGGGTGGCAGCCCAACTGCAGTCTGAACGCTCTCATTGCAAAACCCATCTTTGTCTCAGCGTTTGGGTAATATAACACCACTTCACACTTTTGCAGAGAAAAGTGCACTTAACATAACTCACCGCTTTGAACGGGAGAAGGCAGCCAGACAGGACTTGAATACCAGACATTTTTTTTCTATACATTATCCATTTTAGATTAAATTTTTTCAGCGAGGTTGTTTGGCATTACAGGTGTTAATTAAAGAAAGTGTAGTACACAAAAAATCTGTCAACATGTTTGTCATCTAGAATTATTGCTACACTATATTTCAAGGCAACAGGCCCATACTGTATGTATATCTAACCCTGTAGGAAACATTAAGTGCTAAAAAGATAAAAGACAAGCATTACATAACTTAAGTAAATCCCTTTAAGCATGAGAAAGTACTAAGTTTGTAAACACCAGGAACTGAACCCTCTACCTGCAAAGTGTAGGTTCAGGCACCAACCTAGATCTGCTCAAACAATGCCAGAGTGGTAATCTGGTAATCCGGGGCTTTGTAGAAACCACCCAACATTTGGTCTACGATCATTTCTGAAGTGTGATTCAAAGAAAATGATTGTACGTATAAAAAACACACATACACCACCCTCTCAGATAGGCAATCTATAAACTGCAAATGACTGTAAAATCGTGTATAGCTGAATGCTTTTAGAGTTCCACCATGAACATGTCCCTTATCATTAGCCTACAAATGAGCTTGAAACAAAGCCCAAATCATCAACTCAATAATCACGTTACTCACATCTATCCTTTACAGTATATTACAGTATATAACCAAACAACCAACTGACTGCAAGTGCTACAATCAAATATACACAGTGTTCCAGTTTAACACGGACCATCAACAAACAACCAGCATGATTATGGTTTCCTCTCTAGGCCTGTGAAGTGTAGGGTGGGAGAGAGTGCTGCCTATAATGCCTGTTACAGAAGCACTATGATAGCCTGCCTGTGGGCTACTTCTTATTTGGTGGAGGTTGAGGTGAAATCACCAGGTGTGCCAGAGTGATGTGAGCTCGTTGGAGTTGTGCTTGACAGTTACTCCCCCAGGTTAGAAAGGGGCCCAGGGGAGGTAAGCCAACCTCTTTACCATATGCTCAGTATTTTGTGCAGAAACTATGCACACACTAACCAATGTAATAATTAAAAATGGGCAGGACATGTAAAAACTCCTAGGGGCTTTTCTCTGCTGAATGGGGATGCTGATCTGTATCATCAGAAGTAGGAGCCTCTGTATTGTCTATAAAGTGACACTTTCCATGTGTTTTTTTCCTGCATGTAGAAATGTGCGTATACTTACAAGCACTACGTTCATGAGTACGCACAAACCCCTAATGCCAGAGAAGCGTAAATGAAGCAAATCCAAACCAAAACTAATTATAGTTCATTTACAACAGCATGATAAAAATAAAGAAATTTATGATACCAATATCTGCAATACATTGAGTCTTTAAAAAATTAGAAAAACGCTTTCCTTTATAAACCAGTGAAATTCTTAATGTAACTTTGAGGTTATGAACCACTACAGTACACCCCTGATTAAATTTTATCAGCTATCAGTCAGAGTTTTGATTAATTAAGTAGACTAGGGAAACAGGGGGGGGGACTTCAGTCATGATTTCCTGTATTATTTGCAATTAATTGCCCCCTAACTCTAACTTTAACAAAATTTAGTAGATAGATTCAGCTGATTGAACGTGGTCAGGATTGATTACGGCCTGCCTGTTGAACCTAAACCTCATTTATAGTGAACATTACATCATAGTCAAGTAGTAGCACAGTCTCTCTATATCACTATCAAAGGAAACTCCATAAGTCACAAAAGAAAAGTTGAAATATATCATTCTAGAAAGGATTATGAAGCTGTACATAAGATTCTAGGATTCCACTGAACCACAGTGACTCATTATCTCCACATGGAGAACACCTGGAACAACTGTGAATCGTCCCCTGGATTGGTCAGCCAGCCTGCTAAAATTTCTCTAAGGGCATAGTGACGACTCATTCAGGAAGTTACACAAGATCCTAGAAGAACATTGAAAAAACAGCTGGCCTCTCTATTCTTGGCTAGTGTTGGCGGCACCACGATGAGAGACTGAGCAAAAGGGGGATTCATGAGAAACTACTGACAAGCACAAAAATCCTCAGTACTCTTCTCACATTTGCAAAAAAAAGGCACCTGGATGATCTCGAGCTCTTTGGGGTACTGGTCTATGGATAGACAGGTCAAAAATAGGAACTTCTTTGACAATACACTGCATAAATAATTATTATGCACATTTGTTGTTTTGCAGATTTTTAAATATTTTAATAGACACATTAAAAGCAATTCCAAATCACTCCTTATAAATGTCATATGCACTACCTTTCAAAAGATTGGGGGCACTTAGAAATTTCCTTGTGAAAACATACACAAAATGAGTTTGAATAGGAAATACAGCTAAATAGGAAATAGTCATTGACATTAGAAGTAATCATTTTTGAAATTAAAATAATAATTGTGTTCTTCAAACTGTGCTGTTGTCAAAGAGTCCTCCATTTGCAGCAATTACAGCCTTGTAGGCCTTGGGCATTCTAGATGTCAGTTTGTTGAGGTAACCAGATTAGATTTCACCCTGTGCTTCCTGAAGCATCTCCCACAAGTTGGATTGGCGTGATGGGCACTTCATATGTACCATTTGGTCAAGCTGCTCCTGTAACAGCTCAATAGAGCTGAGTTCCAGTGACTGTGCTGGCCACTCCATCATACACAGAATATCAGTTGCATAATCTGGAGCTGTGTTTGGGTCATTGTCCTGTTGCAGGATGAAACTGGCTCCAATTAAGCCCTGTCCACAGGGTATGGCGTGCCGTTGCAAAATGTAGTGATAGCCTTCGTTCTTCAAGATTGCTTTTACCCTGCACAAATCTCCCACTTTACCATCACCAAATTAGTCCCAGACCATCACATTGCTTCCACCATGCTTCACAGATGTCATCCAGTACTATTGCAACACCTTTTAATTTGTTCTGTGTCTCATAAACGTTCTTATTTATGATCCCAACACCTCAAACTTAGATATGTTTACTCATAACACTGTTTTCCAGTCTTCCTCTGTGTTCATTTACCTATGTCAATCTTTTCTTTTTTTCCTGGACATTTTGAGATACGGCTTTTTTTTGCAATTCTGCCTAGAAGGCCAAAATCCCGGAGTTGCCTCTTCACTGTTGACGGTGAGACTGGTCTTTTGCGGGTACTATTTGATGAGACACTCCAACTACACACTCCAATATATTTATCCTCCCTCCTATGATAATCACTTACAACATTAACAATGACAACACAGAATTTCTGTTATTTTAATGGACAAAAGCACGGAAATCTCTAAGTGACACTAAACCTTTGAACAGTAGTGTAGCTATTGATATTTTACATGCAGGATACACTGCCTGGCCAAAAAAAAAAAGGTCACCGCTTGAAATTAAATCAGATGTACTTAAAAGCCAATGATAACACCTTTATTAAAGCTTAGCAACGTTATGGAGCAATAAGGTGAAGTCAGCTGAATACCGGAATCTACTGAAGGGCCAGGTTATCCCATCAATGGATTTTTTCTAACCTAAAGGCATGGGCATATTCCGGGATGATAATACCAAGATTCATAGGGCTCTAACTGTTAAAGAGTGGTTTAGGGAGAAATCTTTTTCACGAGTGAATTGAGCAGCACAGAGTTTTGACCTTAACCCCATTGAATGTCTTTCAGATGTGATGAAGATGACTTTACGGAATGGTACTACTCACCTTTCATGAATACAAGATCTTAAAGAGAAATTAATAAAATTTTGGATGGAAAAATTTTTTTGAGATGCTGCATAAGCACATGGAAACAATGCATTAAAGAATGTGCACCACAATCAAAGTTACATGGGATCCAACAAAATATTAAACTTTGCGACTTTTTTTTTTAAGCCAGGCAGTGTATAATGACCAAAAAGTAGGTCAGTGATCCTCTGTTTATTTGATGTGATCATGCCCTACTTTAGCTGAAGCATCCAAGAAAGATGCCCATTGGCTGTTCAGAGATGTGTGGCCCTCTTTAGGAGGGCCCACAGGATTTTCAATTGGGGTCAAATTAGCAGAGCAAGGGGGCCAAGTTATCATGTTACCATCTCTGAACCCTTTGCTGGTTAGCCAATGCTTGGACCAATGGAATGGAGAATTGTCTTACATAAGGATCATGAACTTTTGAATGACGCTGGCATCTTCTGGTACCAATCCATCTTCCACTCAAAATGGATCAACCAATTCACTCATCCATCCACAAAACCTTTGAAAAATCTCTCTTTGTGAATTGTTTTGCCAATTCTTGATGCTTTAGGTTGTTTTTCATTTAAGGTAGGCTATTTTTCTGACCTTCCCAGGTATGCAAAGCATTTTGCACCTTATGCTTCTCCAGAGTCCAGGAAGGCTGCAGTTCTAGAATGGTATTTGAGACTAAATGATGCCTGGATACTTCCTGTTTAATTATTCTGTAGTCTCTTATGGTTAATTTGCATAGTTTTTTTCTACGTTTTCTGTGCCCCTGTGATCTCACAATCATAAATCTCGTTTGTGATCATGGCTGAAAATCTTCGGATTTTCAATTCTTTTGTATCCCTCTGAAAGCCAGTTAACTATTTTTGCGTTTCCATCAAATGACGTCTTTTTTCGCCTCATATTCCCAGCAGCAAAAAGCTGCCTAATAATGATGCACATCAGAATTTAAGGCATTCCTCATTTTACACCACAACCACTTTCAATAAAGTAATAAAATCAACTGGAAATGTTTACACCGAATGCATAGAGGTTAGTATGGTTTTCATTTTTTAAAAAATGCTCTTGGAGATGCTATTTCATTACAAATAATAATATTATGCATTACAAATAATGCATAATAATCATGTGCACACTGTGCATATCCCATTATACTGGACGTATAGCAAATACAGCATTTTGCTGAAATACCGTCACCCCAACCACCAAACATGGCAGTGATAGTGTGGTGACACTTTGCTACCTTGGGATCTCCCATTATTGAAGAAACCATAAGCATAATTGGGTTATGCAGCAAGACGATGGTCAAAAACACAAGATCCAGTCCACATTTAGATGGCTGAAAAGAAAATTAGTAACTTACTCAAAGCCCTCACTTGAACCTGAAGCAGGATCTGCGACAAGCAGTTCATTCTTGAAAACCAATTCTTTCAGAACTACAGCATTTTTGCCAAGCTTAGGCTAAAATTTCTTCACAGCCATATGAATGATTGATATGAAATTATAAGAATAGCTTGACAGCAGTTATCGCTATAAACAAGCAAGTTTAAAAGGCAACTGCCTTTTCATACAGGTGTCTGGGTGCATTTTAAATATTTAAAAAAAAAAAATATATATATATATATATATATGTATTTACTCAGGATTTTTGTCTAATACTTTTTGTCCCTCAAGATCTTTGAATATTGATTGCGACAAATGTACAATACATTTTCAAATATGGAATATAATTTTTCATAGATGAACACTGACGATACCTGAATAAGAGTACTATAAAGTATCACATTTCATATTGTTTAAATGTCTCCAAATATGCTTTTTTGCGTTGTACTATACTCACAGTACTCAAAAGTAAAACATGACACAAATGTAATGAGTACAAACACATTTCTCTTAAAATATATGCACACAAAAGAAAGTCCCATAAAGACCAGATGTACACAAAAGGTGCTTCACTCAGGCATAATAAATCATTCTGCCACAACAGGAGGACTGACCAGAGCTGTCCTCAAAAATAAATTCGAGCCCACTGCTCCACATTATTCATAATAATACAGTTCAACAGAAACTTCAAGAGTTCCTGATATCTGACTGAGCAGAAGATGAGAGCTGCAGCACTGTGGAGGTCGTGGAGATGGACAGACTGTGATGCCAATCAGAAGATCACTTGTCCACTGTCAGTTCAGATAGGCGGCCAGCTCTTGGATACCTTCTCATGCAAAGACTCAGGGAGCCACTGGCAGTAAGCGGACAGCAAGTCTGCAGGGGAAAGAGCATTTGATTCACTTGGATGAATAGATACAGGGTCCATAATGTAGGGAGAAAGCCATGTATTTTTTTGCCACTGCATGCCACAATTTTAGATTTGTAATCAAACAATTCACATGTGGTTAATGTGCACATTCTCAGGTTTTAAAATTGGGTATTTTATACATTTTGGTTTCACCATGTAGAAATTACATCGCTTTTTATACATAGTCCCCAGCCATAAATAGTCTTGTTGCATATTCTTTTCATGCAAATCAGTGCTTGCCATCTACAAATTTGACATTACCAGGGGTCACATTCATCAAAGTGTGTGTAGATGTCAGCCTAAATGTGTGTGGATGAATTGTCGGTACGCAACAGGAAAACTGGTATTTATTACTCATGTGCATGAACAGCCATACAAAGTGAATGTTGATAGCAGCTGGTCATAAAAAAAGAGAAGGACCTCACATGGGGACAGGTAACTCATACAGTTACTGCTGTGTCACCTGTAATGAGAACGACGGTTCGATCTGAAAATGACCACCAAAAAAAGGACTGCAGCTCACAGATCCCATGTCCGTGCCAGAGGGGGTGACCCAAGCACCACGTCAATCTCACCTCTGCATGGTAACATGGCAGCCTTCATTGGCAAAACATCCCTAACAGAACTCATTCCAGAGGGTGACACTGATAGTACAGCTCCATCAACCAATGGATGAGGCTGGGCTGTCAGAAATAGATAAGATACTTGTGTGGTTGCATTTAACTGGCTGTAGCAAGTAATGCATATGGAACGGCAGAGTAGACCAACAAGTGAATGTTGCTGAAAATGAATTGTGCCAGACATGTCAATTGTCTTGTAAAGCATGTAACTGACAGTGATATATTACTACTTTGGTTATGGACCTTACATGACTTTGGAACAATTCATTGTCATTAGCATGTCCTGCCTGCACATACTTTTGTAGGAACAGAACTAGCTCATTATATTTGTCAGTCAAGGTTGATTATTAAGTGGGAGTATATGCGTATCCTTTGTATCGATCAGTTTGCCTCAGTTATGCTTCTCTTCCATTAGGGGTTTGTGCATACGCATGGTCAGGAGTGTTTGTAAATATATGCACATTTCTATGTATAAGAAGAAATCGGTAAATACCATCCTATCCATAAAAATGTGCATACACACAGTTTACACCCGAAACTCTTTGCAAGCACAGTTAAAAATGAGACTCCAGGTGCTGAGTATCTTAAATGGTGATGCTCTGCCAGGCTTGGGCTGAAGCCATCTTCAACCTTTGCTTGTTTCAGGGACAGGTTTTTTTCTTCAGCATATAAAAAGCATGCTCATTTCGATTGAGACTGGGTGGTTGACTTGACGTGGCCAGTCAAGAATTTTCCAGTTTTTAGCTTTGAAAAACTTCTTTGTTGCTTTAGCAGTATGTTTGGAAACATTGCCTTGCTGTATGATGAAGCGCTGGCCAAAGAGTATGAAGGTATTTGCTTGAAGCTGAGCAGATATGTTGTTTCTGTATACTTCAGCATTCATTTTGCTATGGCTATCAGCAGTTACATCGTCAATTAAAATAAGCATACAGCCTGCGGCAGCAATACACGCCTAGGCCATAACACTCCCAACTACCCCAACCACTCATGTTTCACAGATGAGCTGGTATGCTTTGGATCTTAGCCAGGTCTGTTCCATCTCCATACTTCGCTCTTGGCATCATTCTAATACAGGTTAACCTTGGTTTCATCTGACCATAATATATCTTTTTCCAGAGCTCTGCTTACTCATTCAAGTACTTCTTTGCAATCTGTAACCTGACTATCTTGTTTTTGTGGCTAACTTGTGGTTTTCTTCAAGCACTGTAGCCTCTGTTTTTCTATTCATGGAGCCTTCCACAGATAGTAGTCACTGACAAATCCACACCTGCCTCCTTAAGAATATTTCTGATCTGTCGGATTTTCTGTGCCACCTTACTTTTCAACTTCAAGTTTCACCTATACAAAATTTTTAAACAATCAAAAAGTCCATATTCATCCAAATGGCAATAACAGACTCCAAATGTTATCAAAAGCCTAGAAGCTGAAAGCTGTCTAATACCTGCACTATCAAAGTAATTAAACAAGGCCCATAACAGGTAGGTTAATTTCATAAAAGTCATAATGCATTATTTCTTAGATTATGTTTGATTACAAATATGGTATTTTGATATAAAGTTTAATACAGTTTAATAATTGAAGTTTAATAATTCCTACTGGTTGAGAACAATGCAAGAGCTTTAATAGTGATGTTGCACAGAATCTCAGAATTCATAGCTAAAAACAAACCACTCAGTATCTCACTGGGAAGCTGATGGAGGGCAAATGGAAAGACAGTTCATTTCTTTTTTAAAATATAACCAGATAGCTCAGAGCGTAACAAATATTTATTTTATTTTATTGAAGACTAATACCTTAAGTGATTTATTAAAGTCTGTTAAGTGGACTTTTAATGGTTTTTTGGGCTTCTATTTCTGTCTGTTAAATATGTTTTTAGCAAATATGATTTAGGTTTTTTGTTCCTAAACATTCACCTTGATTGGAGAACAATATCATACACTGAGAAGGAACAAAAAAAGTCTGATGGAGGACATAGTGAAGTGAAACACTTTTATGTTGTTTTATTTCACCCATGCAACACTGATAAAGGCATCATTTGTTTTTGTCTTTATTTTTGAGACATATTTGAAATACAATTCTGAACTGAATATACAGACTACAAAATCATTTTTTGGATGGTACCTCAACATTACTGTATATGCTATTAATTGTGATTTAAAAAATTGACAGCCCTGATTATAACAAATAGAAATTAATAATCTGTAGATCACAAGTTAAACCATCAAGCAAATATTAAAATACCTTGTATTAATTCATTAACTTGAGGTTTCAATGTGTAGTTATGACTATAGCTTTTAATGTAAGGCACAATTAATGATGATTAATCACAAAAAAACTGAATAATTTTTAAAATCTATTCACAGCCCTTAATTAAACACACCTGAGCACTCAGAAACACCTGTGAAACCATGTGTCCAAAATATTATGGTGTCCTGAAATGGGTGGGGGGCAAATAAAAAAATATATCTGCCTTTGTAAAAAAACAACCATGGAGGGCACAATGCATATAAAAGTGTGTCAGTTAACAGCTGTTTTGTTTGGCCAGTTTTTCTGGTTCAGAAACAGCAAATTTTTGTGCCATATGGTAGGAGCCTTGCACAGGGGTTAACTTACATGTACGGTCTTTCTTCCAAGCTGAGAGCAGGGCCTCTCGACAGTCTGTCTTCTCTGATACCAGAGCCCCAATTAAGGCTTCAGTACGGGGCTGCAATCTATATACGGAACATGATGTGCCCAGGAAAGCAAGGCACATAAAGGAAAACACACAAAGCACATAAGCACAATACATTTTCACTTAACAGAATAAGCATTATTTACATTACATATATCACATATATATTATAAATGACATTACTTATATCATTATACTATTTTAGTGCAGGGATGTTCAAATTCAAACATACGCTCCCAAATAACCATTTTATTCCAAATGGATATTTCATTTTGATACCCAATCTGATGGTTTAAGTGAAAATCACAAAGTTGGCCAAAGTATGTGAGCACTACAGCTGCATAACAACTCTGGAACACAGGCCACACATTCTCATATTACTATGGCAATGATATTCATGAAATAATGTATGAAATAAAGAGCTCACTTGGCCCAGGTTTTCATCATGATGGAGGGACTGGAGAGGAGGCAGCTGGTATAGCTGCCTAGCTGTGGGCACACCTGAAACAGTTACACACAAGCAGATCGATGCTACTCTGGCCCAAATTCATCAATTAGTGCACTTAAGTGTAACTGTTTATTTTGCAAGTGTATTTTAGAGACTTTTCATAGAGTCCCTCAAAGTTATGTGGGACTGCGGACCATTAGTATAACACTAATCATCGGAGTCATATTCAAAACAGTTATATATTGTGCAGGAACATATCACTTCAAAGCATAAAACCCATAATTCATAAATATCATGAATGAAAATGCTTATATTCATTGAAATATAAATAATTCTTAGTTTCAGAACAAATTACCAACTAAACTGTGACCAGAGTCAAGCAAGGCTTAAGAGCACACCTATTTTTTCATCTTGTAGATATAAGATGATAGGGAGTGTAACTATCAATATACTATGGAGATAAATTTATGTCTAAAAGTAATTGTACCTAAATATTATGACAATCTCATAATTTTATGAAATGCAAATCCATATTCAGAGTTGTAAATGTGTACCTGTGCCTGCCACCGAAGGTTCATGGATACAATCCTCATTTGACAATTACAAATCCTCATTTATGAGTTTACGATGTTGTGATTACAATTCACAGTTCAAATTTCTGAATCACTAGTTACGTGGGGAAAGTTACATTGTCAGTGGCCAATGGGATTTGGCGAAAAAAAAAGTCACTTATCAAGTTCCGAAAAGCATAAGCGAAATGGAGAGCTCCAGAGAGCTGAACGTAAATTATCTTACTAGAAGCTACAAATAAAGCATCAGTGGATATTTTATGGGACTTCAGTCCTGCTTCTAGCAGCCTGATATAAATTGTCCTAATAGTGCACTTCACACTGCACTGAATGTTTCCCATTCCTTTTGAGAGTTACTTGATGTCATCTTCCGATTCATGAGGAACTGTCAGATAAGTTAACGGTCAATACTGGAATTAAAAAGCTGCTCTCGCCCATTACCTGGCTGTTTTCTGGTCGTTTCCAATGTCTCCTGCTTCACCTTACTCTTTTGTACTGGTGTCTTAGAAATTTTGAACCTGGAAGTAATCTGCTTCTCAGTGCAGCGTTCTGCCAGCAGAACCACGATTAAACCAGGATTACGGATTAAAAATTACGGATTTACAAATATGATTTTAGATTTGCAATAAATTTTTACATACGATTATTTTAGATGTAAATCTACTTCCACACAGTACTGCCACTCTGATCAAAGCAATTTCTTTATTTATAGTATAAGAAGGCTGGGTCCCAGGTACCTCTTGGTAAGACTTTGTATTATCGCATCTTGATTTCAGACATGCAGTGTCATTCAAAAGTCTGCTGGACACCTCCTTTTAATGGATATGTTTGTGTTTTAACTATATTATTCACCTTATAGTAAAAGGCCTCAAGGCAATGAAATAATACATATCAAATACTGCGACGACCTAGAGAAGTGTTTAACTACACAGAATTTTCTCAAATTTTAGACTTTGGTTTTGATTACAGGAGTGCAGACTCTTGGCATTCTTTCAAACAGCTTCCAGATGAAACCACCTGGAAGGCTTGCCCAACAATCCTGAAGGAGTTTCCAAAAGTTCTGGGGACAGTTTGGCTACCTTGCACTTACTCTTCAATCCAACTTAACCCAAAACAGCTCTATAGGGTTTAGGTTGGGGGATTGTGGGGGCCAGGTCATCTGCCTCAGCACTCCATCTCTTTCTGCGTTCACAATACTTACTACATAACCTTGAGGCGTGTTTAGGGTCATTATCTTGTGATTTACAGTAGATGTGTTCAGACCTTTGACTGGCTCTGTACTTTAATACTATGTCATCCCTCTCATAAGCTATGGTCCTTACCTTTCCTTCAAGCAGGAACTTGGCAAAGAGCTTATAGCGATCCAGCCCTTCTGGGTAATCGACTTCCACCGGAGGAAGCTGCCAGCCAACACGGACTGAAATGTAAAACAGAGTGTTTGCTGCTTGATGTGGTTTGCGGAAAGCTCACAGGGGTAAAACTACAATTAATACCGAATCCCATTCTTAGCTTAGCAAGACAATTCACTTGCATTTGAGGTCCCCAGGACATCTGCTGCTAAAACGTTATTTTTATTCATGGTGGATTTAGGGATGTACTTAAAGGTATAACAGCTAAGAACCAGCTAAGATTTATAACAGCAAAGGCTAATAAGAGAGAAAAGGTCATTCCCAATATTTGTACCCTGTTATTTAAAATTTCAAGCCAACAGGTAGTGCCCCCTAAACGTGAAAACAGAATAAGTAAAATCTTCTCTAATTTCAATTACAGCAAGACGCAAGGAGCTGAAAGAAAGCCGTTGTCATTATGGAGTGGTGAAACATGCAGATGAAGGTAATCTGAATTCAGATCATAGCTGATCTTCAGTGAGAGCTCAGTTCTACAATACTCCATAAGGCCAATGGGACATACAGAAGGTGCTCTTGCAGTGGCACTTCACTCGGCCGCTTTCCGAGCAGAATCGCGGCGGTGGCGTCTCCAAAGGTGCCTCAAAATGGGAGTACTGGGGCAGGATCCCGGGGATCCACTCCTCCTCCACTGCTGACACACCTGCATCAGAGAGCAAATGTGTCATGCCAGGATGCATTTCCAAAAGCCTCCATAAGGATTACTGACTGCCATCAGCCATCAATGACAGCGATAAGTGTCACAAAATAAAATCAGAATCAGTTTCTTATGGTTCCAGGGACCAATTGTCCACAATTTATATTTTAAAGAATTCCTACAATAATTTGATTTAGACATCACCTCTATTTAGTAGTACATATCATAAATGGCAAAAATCAGACTTTCAAATTTTTTATTGTTTCAAGCCATGGAATACTGATGTGACTAATAGTTATTTATACATTTATTTGCCTGACCTAAATAGTTTTACAAGGAACACCCATTTAAAAAAAGTCACATTTGTCTTTCTGTCATTATAAACATTTACATAAAAACCAAGGAATGCGGGAAATCAAAAACAAAATTCAGTCAACAGCTATTTGTATTTTGATTGATCAGGAGCTCAGCTATGATAAGGACCAACAGGAAAACGATGATTCCTATGGATAAGTCACTGCAAAGCATGTTCTACAGTCCCTGAGATGGCCTCTGAATCAGTGGGGGTGCGAGTACCTCTCATATACATCTTGGATGTCTCCAGAACTTCCTGGTACACCACATACTGTGGCAACTTCTTGAAGAGGGCCGAGTTGGGGTGTATGAACACTGGGCCATCAAGAAGAGGTGTCTAGACACAGGGAAGTCCAGCACACACCGTCAAGCAGTCATCCTACTGAAGTAACATTCAAACACATAAACGTATGCTGCCAACAAACACTAGATGCTAAGTGCAACCTCTAGGGATGACCACACCTTGTAGCCATTGCGCCATTTGGGATCCAGCAATTCTTCTGCTTGCACCCGGCGTGCAAGGTGGTCACCCAACCCTGCCAAAACAATTTGCCGCAGGCACACCACCTGGCTCTCTGTAGGGGGTGCCATTTTGGCATCGAGGAACACCTTTGCTTCTGGGTCTACAGCATTTACTGCAAAGTGCAATGTAAGACAAGACAGTGTCACCGTCAGAAACTCTATTAGAAGGATGTTTGACTATTACCATTGAAACTACTTAAAATGTTCATAGAATTTAACATCAAATAAAGTTCATTCAGGGTTTTCAGTGTGCCAGCAACATTATCGAATTGTTCATAGAACAACATATTGACAAAGTACTACAGGTATTCTGTTGATTAATGGTTGTTTGTAAGAGCAAATTTGTGAATTAGAGTAAGTTATCATCAAGCTACAATCAATGCTACACTTAAATGTTCCTGAAATGCCACCTGGACTGTATTATCTATGGAACATGGGTAGAGAGCATAATATACCTGCGGTTGTGAGCTGCCCTCTCAGTCGCCGTATCTCCACTATAGCTTTGTAGCGCAGCCCGTTATCCTGACAGAACTTAGGGGTGCAGCCAGCATACTCACAAGCTCCCACGGCTCCTGCACACAGGAGACAAAGCCCATGAGCACAGACACTCTGAGATCTTGCAAACTCACACAGAGCAGGGACATGAATGAAAACCCCAAGTACTACAACCCTGGCCACTGCTGACCCCTTCAGATATCCAGCTTTGGAGTTCAGGTTAAGAATAGATGTTTTTAAGCCCATTTTGCTTGGTTTGTGTACTAAATATCTGTGATATTTTAATATTTATTGGATTATTTATTGTGATCAAATGTACAAGTTTAGGCCATTTTTCGTACTAGACTTTGAGCTTGTGATGGTTTGATCATGAGTCCCCCAATTAGACCCTTATGGCTGAGTCTTACCCAGCATCACCATGAGGTCCCCCAGCAAAGAGGACACCCCCTCTCCAGCCCACAGCCTCCTCATCTGGGTGAAACGCAGGCGTCTCTGTGCCAACTTGGAGTTGTCCTCTTCACTGCCCGCAGGTCTAAACACATAGAGAAACGAAGTCGGAGAAAAACATTAATTGCCACACGTGTGCCTTGTCAGCAGCATTGAAACATAATGCTGTAGAAAGGGCACAGTGAGAGAGTGTGGCGCTAACTGCTGGGGGTGTATGTCTCTGCACGTTAGGGCTCTGTCACCTAGGGCTGGGCGGTATATCCGAATCGTGACTATGCACATTCATATTGTCATATGAACACACTTGTTTTCTTGTATAATTAGCTAATTAACTGTTATAATACATTATTTTTACACAAATCAGTTGGAGTAATTCATCATTATACTTGTCTCGTGCTCCATACCACTTTGGTCATTATAATAAGAAAATCTCAAAACCACCTGACATTTTACTGTTCTCCACAAATGTATATTAGAATATCAGGATAATTATTTATATTGTGAAAAATCTCTGAAAATATTGTGATATCAATTTTAGGGCACATCACCCAGCCCTAATTTAACCGCTGGGCTCCTGAGCAAAGCGCCTCGGTGCTCCAGGGACTAGCTGACCCTGCTTTATCAACAGTACATCACATTGATAAAAGCGGCTGCTAAATAAATGCACTCAGATTTCTGCAGTACCAACCTATCCAGTTCCTCGAAAACCTCCCGGACCGTCATGGCTGCTACGATGGTGATGACATAGGGCAGGCAGGCCTGCTGCCTCCCCAGGGCCAGCATTTTGGCAAAGCGTGGGGCTACAGGGAAGGCAGCCATGGCGCGGCCCAGGGGGGTAATGGGACAGCTCAGCCGTGCCCGCTCCATCTCCTTCACCCTGAGGGGGGCAGTGAAAGCAGAGAGGACACCACATTCAGGCAAAAAATAAAACGCCCATAAAGACGACGCAAACGCAAAGAGAGCTGGGTCTGGATCAGGGCTGCAGCTTTCAGGGCAAACACTTTGCTGAAAGGTGGGACACAGGAATGTTTTATTCCGCTCCACAATCCCCAGGACACCTGCTGCCCCCACAATAACAAGCAGAACGTTCCAACACGCGCATCGCTAACTCTCACCGGCCGCCATGTCGTGGCCCTTCCAGCGCTCCCAGGGATACCAGCAGATGCTCCGCCACTATGAGGGCCTCAAGTGAGGGTGCAGTGGGGAACGGGAAGTTCACCACCTGGCCACAGACAGAGAAATGCTGTTATACTGAGGAGCATAATGTAATATTAGTCCAGGCCCACAGCAGATGTTTTTGAACAGAAAAAGCTGGCAGTTAAAAAATCCTAAATCTTTAATATTCTGCACAGCAGAATAAAACAAACATGTACTGGATTTCTGTACTGCCTTTATTTAATAAAAGGAATATGCATTTGTATACAATCGGTGTAACAATAATGAGCCTTCTTTTTCATCACCTTTTCAATGTTAAGATCTTTCATCTGTAGGACAAGATCATCCACGGGCCGTCGTGTGATTTCTGCCTCTGAGAATTCCTCAAAATCAGAGAAAACTGCAGAGGAATACAACCTTCACACACACACAAAGTTCATAAGCAACAAATGTAAACAAGGTTTATCTTAACATCAAATACAAACTAAGTTTATAGTACTGACCTATAGCAGTGGCCAGGATCTGTACGCCCCGCCCTCCCTGCTCTCTGATTGGCTGAGGCCTGAGATGTCCAGGTCACTTTGAAAGAGGAGATGCCAGTGACGCGGTCATAGAAGCGCTTCTTGACACGGCCACAGTCCACCACAAACTTGATGCCCGGGATGGTCAGAGAGGTCTCCGCCACGTTGGTGGCCACCACACACAGGCGGGTACCCGCAGGCGCTGGCTGGAACACCTGACAACATTTTCCGAGAGTGGGGGGAGGGAAGGATTTCAGACCCTTCTCAGTCCGGTGCAGACCTTGACACACAACTACACTGATTCAGAAGAGGAGTGGTTGATATACCTTGGCCTGTCGCTCTGGAGCCAGGAGGGAGTAGAGAGGGAGAACGAAGAGAGGTAGTGCAGGGTCACCCTTCTCCTCTAAAGCCAGAGTACAAAAACCAACGGAACATATTGAATTTTTATCCACAACTATTCAGTCATTTTTTTGCCTCGTCTTAATATGGCATGGCTATATGTCATACAGATTTATTTATTACCTTGCAACACTGAAGAACAATATTTCGTCTCGGTATATGACTAATGCATCACAGAATTTAGATGATACTTTGACTTTTGATTCCAGTTGTTTGTGCTATTGTCTGTATAAGCTTAGACTATCAACCTGGCAGACCAATCACCTTCTCACTCTATACTGCCCCATTCTGGGACTGTTCTCCTGTAAGCACCCAGTCACTATACTGCCCCATGCAGGGCCTGTGGCCCCGTAAGAACCCAGTCACTATACTGCCCCATGCAGGGCCTGTGGCCCCGTAAGCACCCAGTTACTATACTGCCCCATGCTGGGCCTGTGGCCCCGTAAGCACCCAGTCACTCTATACTGCCCCATACTGGGCCTGTGGTCCCGTAAGCACCCAGTCACTCTATACTGCCCCATACTGGGCCTGTGGTCCCGTAAGCACCAGGTCACTCTATACTGCCCCATACTGGGCCTGTGGTCCCGTAAGCACCCGGTTACTCTATACTGCTCCATGTTGGGCCTGTGCTCCCTTAAGAACCCAGTTACTCTATACAGCTCAATGCTGGGCCTTTGCTTCCTTAAGCACCCTGTCACACTATACTGCTCCATGCTGGGTTTGTGGTGCTCAGTTCTGAAAGCAGATTCTTTTCACCTGAGTCATGAGGATCATCTCCCAGTTCCAGGTCCAAATCAGACCCCTCCTCCTCATCGCCAATTCCAGCCAGGCGGTCCTCATCTCCCTCATCCACTGGCAGCGCAGAGTAATTGTCGAGGTTGATGCAAGGAAGGCACTGGTGAAGTGGAGTGATATGGCGATCACATGACCTCATTCAAGGGGCCAGCTGAGATATACGTGCATCACAACCTTTTACACAATGCTATTCTCTGCAGAATTGGTCAGAGAAAAAGGACAGCAAGGGCCTGTTCTATTTCAACAGGATCTCACTTTAAAGGCACTATAAAGCGGGGGGGG